TATTTTTCTCCAGCATTGTATGCTGTTCAATAATCTCATCTATGGGGAGCTGCAAGCCAGGCCATTGTGAAAGAATTGCTGCAGCACCAGGTGCTTCTCATTCTGGGTCTTTATTGTTGAGTTTTGGGGGTTTGTTTTTTTTTTTTTTTGGAGACCATCTGCAGTAATCATCTAAAGGCAGGTTGAGTGCTCAATCAGCTACCTATTGTCAAAACTGTGTGAAGTGAGCTTGCCTCTTGGTATAGGAATATGAAGGAAAAGATGAGAACAGGCTTTTCTGACTTAGACTGATTTAAGACTACTTTTCTTAGATATGAGGATTCTGATAAGTCATTGTCAAGTCTTCAGAAATGATTTTGAGCTATTCCCTAAAGACAGGTAAAGATTTGTTGTTGTTTCTTGCTTTGCATTTCCTACTGGTAAACTATAGCATGGTCTTATTTGTTTCTTTGTTTTTCTAATAATAAAAGTTGTGTTATTGTTATGGCTAAGGAAAAGAAAATACTGCTATCATATAAAGGAGTAGACTATAAAAGGCAGATTTAGCTTAAATTAGCAGTTTGTCTTCATAAAGAAAAAGAGGCATTGTATATGGAGTCTGTTAGAGCTTTGGGGTTATATGTACGCTATTGCAGTAATGTCAGTGTTGAGTATAAAATGCCAGTCTTTGTAGGCCTTTGTGGTTTTAATCCCATATTCTAAATTACCGTCTATGGTTTTCAAAATATGGTTGAGTCCTAAGATTAGTCCATAAGAAGAAATAAACACTTTTAGCAGTGTTCAATGCTGATCTTGAATTACTGGAAAACTGGACCTGGTGTGGGGAATGCCTTTGGCAAGTGTCTCACTGCTACAGTAAGAATCTCTTGTGGTACTTAGCTACTGCCTGAAATTAGAACAGGCTGATAAACTTTAGCTTCATGTTTGAGTGTTTGCCTCTGGGACCATTTGCCATACTCTTCACTTTCACTATGATGATGCTAATCAAACTATAGGATTTATTCAAGGCCATGCGTCTTCATTTTCTGTCAATCAGGGTTGTGGGGCAGAGTTGTCTACGGTATGTCTAATACGGTCTAATTACGGTATGACTAATAGGAGTTGCTGCTTAAATACACTTGCAAAGAAATTCAGCTTTGCAGGCTTTATATTTGATGTAAGACTTTCTCTAATAGTTGATTATGCTGTTGTAACTCACAGTTTGTACTTAGCTGTGGGAATATTTGTTTTAAAAGTATGCTTATCTTTATTTTATTGCTTCTTTGCTGGCCAGGAAAGAATGCATAACTCCTCATTGCCTCAATGTGCTTACAAATGAGAATATTTGCATGTCTAGATATATTTACCATAAAACTTGTAAAGGCTGTTACAAATATTGATGATGCTTTTATAGGTATGCTTTCTTTTGATTCTTTGAGAAGCATAAACATTTTAAACAATCCACTATTTTTTCTAATGAAGACATTAGTCCTCTAAATCTGCAGATACCTGTGTCATCTCTTTAGCACGTGATACCCCACGTTACAGTCATTTGGTTTCCTTGTACTCAAGCCTAATGAAGGTAGTAATTGTCAATTCTTGCCTGTTATGCTTAACATATTTCATAATAGCACCTATTACCTATGAAAAATAAGTGAAAACTTTGATTAATGCACACATTTAAAGAGAGATCAGGGCAAAGGATAAGAGACTAGGATCAGTCCTGAAGGGATAAGGAAGATGAGTCTCATAATGGACATGAAATACAGGAAAAAGAACTGAGGTAACTTCGATGAAAGGAAGGTAGGACAGCGGAAGGAGAATTACATTAGGTGCTGACAGACAGATTTGGGAATTCAGAAGTCCATTAGTGACAAGGTGTGAAAGGAACAGGCTGGAGAAGGGACACAGGAAACTTAGAGAAAGAGTACCTCATGAAGGAAAACAGTGATAGCTGGGCAAAGAAAAAGTCTTAGCAATTTTGGCTGGTGAGAGTGGGATGAGGTAAGTAAGAGGATGGGGGAAGACAAAATCTTTGTGGCCTTTAGCTCAGTCCTTAAGCCCTTTATGTTTAACTAAATTTATTAATGAGAACTGTGATTTAGGAATATGAAGTAATATACAGTAGTAAATAATCACATCCCATCCATTGCAAATTAGGTAGCAAAAATTAGTAGATACTTTGACCTTATACTCCATCTGTCTTAACTCCCTTTCTGTGTAATGGGGATAATAATAGATCCTTGTCTCAATGAAGGCCTGTGGAAAATAATTGGAATTGGGAAGCACTCTGATACTAGTGTGATGCATGCCACCAAACAACTGATATTTTTTTCCCAATTCACAGTTCAGTAGTTCACAGCAAAAAAGGCATGAGGTCACCTACTAAATGATGTGGGTAAAAAATAAATACTGAATAGTTTCAAGTTAAATGATGTGACTATGTATTTAAAATGTGTATCAACATTGTATCTGCTCAAGAGGTGTTATTAAATTTGCAGAAGTAATCTTAATTCTGTTAATTCTTACCTTTTGGGTGTCTTAGTTTACAACTGTAATACTGTTTTCACCTACGCCTTGGGGAGATGTGGGGTGTGTATTGCAGAATGTGGTTTGTGACAGGTAACCTGAGAGGTGACTTGGTAAATCTGACAGGTGTCTTTCATATGTTTAGTATAATTTTGGGATTATGTAACCTCATACTTAAATAGAAAGTGTCTTTCTCAGTGTGCATTAGTGTCTCGCCTGGTATAATAAGTCCATGTAGTGCCAATTGTAGTACCACTTTCTGGTAGTACCACCTGTGTAGTAGTAGTAGTTGTGGGTTTTTTTCCCCTGCTTTTGGGAAATATGAGGTTTCTGAGCTGGCAGATTATGTATATTCTGAATAGTCTCAAAACAGAAACTGGTAAGAAGAAAAATGAGTAGTTTGAGCTGCAGAGGGGAATGCTGTGTACTCCATCTATGTCTCTATACTGAAACAATTAAGATTACAAGTCTCTTGAGAAATACATTTACTTCTGGGTGGTGTTTTTTTTTTTTAATGACAGACTTTTAATTAACTGTTTTGAATTTTTCCTCTGGAAATGTGGTTTCTGGAAAATCAATAGTTTCTTATAGAAAATTTCAATTTTCCTGAAATTCTAGTTTAGGTTACAGTCTGCTTTTTTTTTTTCCTCCAAGTTGGATGTTTAGGTGGGCCCCTTATTCTTTGCTGGGAATGATGTCTTTGGTTTGGGGGTGAGGGGCCATTAACATTTTTCTCTGTTAGCTAGAGGAAACATTATATGAAATATAATTTGTTCACAGGAGAATAAAGGTAAGAATCTGATATAGACCTCTCATGGGGAGTCATGGCACTCTAAGGAAACACCATTTAATCCTCATCCATTTTATTTTTCTTTCCTAAGACAAACAAACAAACAAAAAACTAGTCTGAATTACCAAACAAACAAAAATCTTCTTAATACTTGTTAATGTAAAAAAATTTCACTTAGTTTAATTAAACTATTAATTAACTATTTAATTAACTATGAAAGTTAATTCACTGTTTATGAATTTCAACATTTTGTCCTGATCTAAGATAAAAGTAAATGTTGAAATACCAAAGTTTCTTAAGAATAACCATTCCTACTTCTGCATAGTTTCTCCAAATTCCATTTGTTAAGTGGCCAAAATAGGACAATTTTTTTTTTTTTTCCCCTACAGTTATTAATGCGAATCATTGTTATATTTCTTCCTGTCATGCTCCCTTCCAGACCTTACTTGCCTCAGAAGCAGGACTTTGAGGGAATGGGCTCTGAGGCTGGGTCTCTGCTTACCTGCTGGGACACATGTTGTTCTCCCACAAGATACTGATTTATGCTCACCCCAGCTAGTGGCTCAGTGGAGATGGGGATGTGGGAGGGGGTCTCTTGTTGACAGCCTGGAGGTCTGGTTCCCATGAGGCTGGATTTGGTGCTTAGGGGAGATCTGCCAGAACGAGTGATTATTAACAGGTACAATCTTGCTTGTACCTGTGAAAAACAATAGCCAATATTAGTTTCATCCAAGCTGCAATTACTACAACTAGATAATTGAATATTTTCTGTAATTGGCCTCAGGGCCCATTTTATACTTTCTCCTAACTGCTCTGTTTACAACTATTCAACTAGCATGCAAGTACAACAACAGGCTGAGTTCAGAAAGAAATTGTACTGATAGTGATTTTTTTTTTTTTTTTTATGTTATAAGCTGTCATAGTTACAGATTTGCTTTACTTTCTTTGAACTATACTATTTGTTTCAGCAATCAAAGAAAGAAGTAAAACCTCTGTGTATATTAGCGATGTACAACAGTGGTAGTCTAAATTTCCTTTAAGGCTTAATATAATTACTAACAACAGGTACATATAGATTGTACTAGAAAGATTAAGGTTATCTGTAGTATCTTTAGCTCACAGGAATCCAGTGCAAGCAAAACACTGAATAAGCAGTGTGTAGAGTAATGTGGAGGGGCAATAGGAGAGGACTGCACACAATCGAGAGCTAAGGGTTCATTTATATTCCAGCTGGATGTTGACTGCTTATCTGTTTCATAAGCTTTTATTTTCCTTATATTCCCAGTAACAGGTTTACAAATAGTTTCTTTCTTCTCTTTTAATCTCTGTTTGTTCATCCTTTCACAGTCTACCTGCTTAATTTTAAATGGATTTCTTGGTCAAATGTGAACTTATAAAATCTTTAGAAATAATACTGAATACTTCTGAAAACTTAAAGGGTATATTATCATTATTTAACTAACTGGACATGTCTTTGCTTTTACTGGAAACTTAAAGCATACTTCCATCTCTAGGATTTTACAGTTACTATGACTTATCTCTGTACTCTACAGTATTAATAGAAGGAGCTCTGCTTATGAGCCAGGTCACTGCTGGTCTGAGCACTGTACAAATACTAAAGACAGAGTTTTCAGTCTAGGTATAGTATGGGAAGCAACAGGTATATATGATAAAAATGAACCAAAAAAACACCATGGTGAAGTAAATGGTACCTTGAGACTGTACTGAGCTACACAGCAGATCATGGTCTCATCCTGGTGCCATCAAACTGTTACTAAATACCAAGCAGAGACATGACACTCAACACTGGACCGCTACTGTATTTTAAGTCTTTGAGACTCCCAGGTGTATTCCATTGCATTACAGAGTCAGCCTGCCCCTTAGGTATGATGCATGTTTCATTTTTTGTATTAATTAAGCTAGTTTAATAGATTAATTTGAAGGACAGATGTTACAGCTCAGGTGGAAGAGCCCTCATGTAAGATCAAAAAAATAGGAGAAAGGGGATTTAAATGCTAGTCTTCTCTCCTGCAGTAGTCATTAGATTGAATGATACAGTCTCCCATAGGGATATGAGTGGGAGGATGTTTATGTGCATATTTTTATATTTTTAATGTATATTAAAATATGCACATGCATGTGTGTCTGTCTTCACTCCCTTCACTGGATTAATTTGGATGGATTTCTTTGTGAAGTATTTGCATATGCTATAAAGCTTATTTTTGTATTTATTTTAGCCCTACACTAGGACCTCAAACTCAATTGCAAATACGATTCTCACTTCCTTCTCAGAAGTCCATAATGTTTTGAGTAACTTCTTTCACATCCTTAAGGGGCCTTTAATTTCAACTGTTTCTAAAGGAGTCACAAATTAATTTGTAACTAAAAAAAAGGATCAACTATATAACTCATGTTGTTATTGGAGATTTGAAATTCATAGGCAGTTAAATTTAGGTTCAGATGGCATTAAACTTAAAAATTACTTTATCCTCTAATGGTGTAATTTAAAATCTTATGTTAAATTCAATGCAATTATAGGCAAGAAGCTCATCATTACCCTCATTAAGATGAAGAGTTGCTCTTCCTGCAGAGGAAAGGGGGAAAATGCCAATCTTGATAACTGGCCTGGGGGGGCCAGAGGGACACATCACATAAATGATTTTTTTCACTGATTCCACTTACAGGTCTGTCCAGAAGCCTGGTGAGGCATGAAAGTTCACTAGTGTTGCCTTGTACCTTTCTTCCAAGAGGATTGCCACAAAAAGAGCATTTTATTAATATATATCAAAAGCTAATGACTTTATCTGCTCAGAGTAGGGATATATTCATGTTTAGGGCTGTCTGTCTGTGTTTTTCCTCATGCTTAAAAATAAAAGTTGAAGTGATCACCATTCAGTTATGAACTTGTGTTTCATGAGAAGTTACTGACTTTGTTGTATTATAAAACTTGATGCCCTTTGTGAAGGTCCAGGCTGTGTATTGTAAGAAGTATTAGTAACTAGGAAGTGAAAATGTGATCAGTTTTTTTTAGTTTTCTAAAATATATTGGGGATTTTTAGTTAGATGTAATCAATTAAGAAAAAGGGTATGATGTCTCTAAGTTTTGTGTAAGAATGTGATGCCCTAATAACTAGGGAACGGTGGTGTTAGGATTCATTAAGATAAAGCACTACCTACAGATTTTTTTTTATATACACTGCATTTTCTATGGTAGGAAAACTTGTTTATGAAAATAGTATTTAGTATATGATTTGTCACATATATCAGTGTACCATCAAATGCTTTATAGAAAAGGAAGACCAAGAGGCTACTTTATCCAATTCTCTTCTTCATCAACACTTCCAGCATCATAGAACACTAGGTCAGAAGGGACCTCAAGGGTCATCTCGTCCAACATTTCTTGGCAAAACCATAGTCTAGACAAGATGGCTCAGCACCCTGTCCAGCCGAATCTTAAAAGTGTCCAATGTTGGGACCACTTCCCTGGGGACATTATTCCAATGGCTGATTCTTCTCATTCTAAAAAATTTTCCTCTTGTGTCCAATCGGAATCTCCCCAGGAGTAACTTGTACCCATTACCCCTCGTCTTTTCTATGTGACTCCTTGGAAAAAGAGAGTCTCCATCTTCTTTGCAGCCACCCTTTAAATACTGGAACACGGTGATAAGGTCTCTCCCCTAAGCCTTCTTTTCTCAAGGCTGAACAAACCCTGTTCTCTCAGGCTTTCCTCATATGGCAGGCTTCCCAGTCCTTTGATCATCTTTGTGGCCCTTCTCTGGACCCTCTCCAGTCTGTCCACATCTTTTTTGCATAGCGGGGACCAGAACTGAACACAGTACTCGAGGTGTGGCCTGACAAGTGCCAAGTAGAGTGGGATAATGACTTCCTTATCTCTGCTGGTGATGCCCTTGTTGATGCAACCCAGCATCCCGTTGACCTTCTTTGCTGCAGCAGCATGCTGTTCCCTTGTGTTGAGCTGCTTGTCCACCAACACCCACAGGTCCTTTTCCCCAGAGCTGCTCCCCAGCCAGGTAGATCCCAGCCTGTGCTGCACTCCTGGATTATGTTTTCCCAGGTGCAAGACCTTACACTTCTCCTTGTTGAAATTCATAAGGTTAGCCCACTCTTCCAGCCTATCCAGGTCTTCCTGCAGGGTGGCTCTCGCTTCCAAAGTGCCCACTTCCCCACTCAGTTTGGTATCATTTGCAAACTTCATCAGGGTACACTTGATCCCATCATCCAGATCACTTATTTTAGTTAGTTCGACAATGTTGGGCCCAATATCGATCCCTGGGGGACCCCACTTGTGACAGGTTGCCAGTTTGAAAAGGAGCTATTTACCACCACCCTCTGGGTGCAGCCTGTCAGCCAGTTCCCCACCCACTGCAGAAACCACTCATCTAGATGTAATGCAGCATTTAGTATTCATGTTATATGGAGGTAGGTGCCTGTTTATTTAAAGCAATTCTAACTACCTAAAAAAAGAGTAGTTTGAAGTAAAACCTCAGCTGGATGTAAGAATACAAAGGCCTTCATAAAGCATTTAACATGCATTAAGAAGTAAGAGGTGTCAGGTCTGTAAAAAGTATAGCAACATAAAAAATAAAATGCATCTTCAAATACAAATTTTAAAACAATCAAAAGGTATTTATTGATTTTTATTTTTTTAACATAGAAATAAGGTTAACTCTACCATTTTGACTGCGTTCCAAACATTTAAAATAAAATGACCCCAGAATTATAATACTTCATTAAAAACATTTGGAATAGTTTTTTTTTTTAAAAAAAAGTAAGCTCTGATGCAATCTGTGTCCTTTCAGATTTTAATAGCTACTTTTTAAATGAGGTAAAAGTGAAATTTTGTTATTTCATGAGCTTTAAGGTAGGAGAAACATAAATGCCATAGAGGACAAAGCATGTGATGTAAATTTCAAAGGCACCATACTGCTTTTTAATTAAGATGTTATGTGGTAGCTTGAACTTTAAAAGAAGCTTCTTGAATGATATACATATTAAATATTTTAATCCTGAGTACACCAAAAGTTTGTATGTTACTTGAGTGGTGTTATATATTGCCTTACTGAAAAATAATTAGTAGCTTAAATATCTTCTGTAACAATTGCTCTGAATTCATATGTAGTTGTGCTGTATAATAATAATGCAAACTCCGTAGTGGCCACAGTGGGTGGAGAAAGTCGCCAAGCACCCCAGGCACAGGTTTTGTCATACTTGGATTGCTCCACTGGCAGGTGGTGGCAGCGGCAGTTGTGGTGTTTCACATTCTCTTAATCTACTCTTTCTCTGGGATTTTTGTGGTAAATTGTAGTTTCTTCTGCCTTCAAAACGGAGAAAACAGAAATGTTTAGAGGAGCCCCAAACTGACATGGGGCTGAGCGGATCTGGGATGAGTAACGGTACGCAGAGCTTTCCCTGGCTGCAGTATATCCTTGTTACAAGAGGAAACAGAGATTAAGATATATGAGTGTTTGATATCTGAATGAAGGAAATGCAGATTATCTACCCTAGTCTCAGGAATGTAGTCTACTAGAACAGTTGGAAAATATGGGTAAGATCAAGGATATTGTGAATCACTTAACTGCTTACATGTATTCAATGTAGACTTGAGGCTTTTCACTGGAGAAAATCTGAGAATATTGAAAACTTTGCATGGCACATTCCATGTTGTCCTCACTGGAATTTCATTCCCCTCTCATTCGTTATCTGCCTGAACACTGTAATTATATCCATTTTATATTATATATTTTTATTTATTAATTTTTTTTGAGGTCTAAGCACCAATAGAGTCTGAAAACACCAGTATAGGCTGCCTTATAATTTGAAGGGGAAAAAATCAGAAATAGTTTGAAAGGTCAGCATAGTCTACAGAAATATGTATTAGCTTTCTACGGTTTTTGTTGATTTACTAAGTGCACAATATGTGTATGCTAAGTACACATCGGTAATGAAGCACTCTTTCATATTTTTCACTGTGAAAGGATTGAAACTGGTGTAGCTGTGTCAGTTTACACTCAATAAGATTATTTTCCTAATACTTAAATAAGAATGACTGAAAAGCTCAAAAGGCCCAGTAATGAGATTTTGTTGCTTTTGCTGAGGTCTGAGTAAAACTCAGTCTGACCCAAGAAGGTACTGTGCCTTGAGGTAGGTAGTGTAGCCTGTAGAGGAGGTGGTGAGCCCCTGTCCAAGGAGGTTTCTTTCCCAGCAGTGCAGGAGCAGAGCTTTCCTGGCAGGAAGGCTGGCATGAGGGGGCTTCCTTAATTGCAATTTTCCAGTTGGGCAAAACAGCTCCAAAGCCTATGACATCTGTGCAGCAGTCAATTTTTGCAACAGAGGTACTCCTCACCTTCTATCTTCTCCAAACAACCAATAATTGTTGGTTGTCAGTCAATTTCTGCTTTCTCATGTATCATCAAGCAGTTGTCTTCTTTCCCTTCTCCATCCTGGTTTGGCTGATCTGCTGTCTACAAGTCTTAAGGGTTTATTACGTTGAAAGAACCCCATGAGAATATATGTGGCTCCCCGCACCCGCACACCTGCACGCACA